CGCCCTGACAACAAGACCAAGTTGCGACAAACAACCCACTTCTGCCCGTTTAGGCTCACAACCCCACTCGCGAGAGCATCTTCTCCATCTCGGACCAGCCATGATATTTACAGTTTGCTTCGTAATGGTGGCTATGGTATTTTATAGCATCGTATCGTTGACTTTATTTGTCCCCAATCTTGACAAAATGTTCGGGAATGTTCAATGCCGGGAAGCATCATGATTACCTTTCCTGATGACGTTGGACTGAGTACATTCTTCGAGATCGCTCTGACAATATGCTGAAAACGAAAAATTGTTACCACGCCATCTTGATCCTCATAATTGCCTCGGCTATCCGCCTCTCGGCAATTTACAGAAAACACTTGAGCTAAACGTCAGAATCTACTGATGGCTTAGAAATCTAATCCAAAAAAATGACAATTCCAGTCGCCATCACCCCAATTATGCAGGCAAACGTGATGGCAGTGGCCCTTAAATGGACAGTTTAGCAAAGTAACGTCTTATCCTCAGTTTTGAGTAGCTTTAAGACCCTGAAACATGCGTAAGGAAGTCTAGTCTCATAAGTTAAGTCCGCCTATTTTTTATAAGGTGATGAAGTCCTGACAGAGCAATTGTTCCCGAAAGATATGAGTAGTCTTCAGGATGCCATTGCATTTTTTTGTCATTTCCTCCCAAAGTAGTTTTTCATACAGGATGGACTTTACTATAGTTTCTAACTCTCCTGGGCCCCGTCAACCCTCAAAATGGAAGTCAAACCTAGATTGTGTGTAACAAGTTGTATCATGTTACCACAGATTCGCGCAGCCATGGACGCCAAAGGATCATAATGCAAATGCAAAATTCAAGGTGAGCCAAGCCTCTCCCAAATCACAGTAGCGATGTGATTACAAGAAAAGACCTTTTGATCATCGCAACTACCTAAAATGTACATCCTCGAAACATTAAACCACTAACAATGTACATATTATTATTATTTAAAAACGTGATTCATGATAATTTTCGACAAAAACAGCTGTCAAAACTGTAAGTTGTATCGATGGCAACGTGTGACAATCTTTCTTCTTTCAGACAATTTCCCCATTTACGGCTTGCCTACTGTCTACTGGGCAAACAGCAAAAGCACTTATCCAGTTTAGCCTCTTGTTAGGCTGCTTCGGTTACGAAGTGAGGCATAAAAAACGGATTGCACAACCACGGAGTCTGGTGCGCTGTCTTGCATGGAGAGCGAAAATCTTCCTGAATAAACCGAAGCTGCAAGGGGCAGCCAGAAGCAGAGGGTCTCGTTGTAATTCTCGCCCGAGAGGCTTGCAACGGATTTTCCCCACTGGCGACAGCACAAAAGCCGACCGAGACATAAGCTTGCCGAATGTGCGGTAGGAACAGGACATAGGCTGGTAACAAGAGGCTGCTTAAATGGACTTCTTTGTCCAATAAATTGCAGAAAAAGAAGATGTTTGGGCACAAACAGCATCATTGATTTCGATATTCTCCAAATTGCACTCTTTTTGTCACCTACTCTCCTGTCGTGGGAGAGCAAGTCATGGTTCGCGAGCCTTAATGTGAAGAGGACTAACGGAAGGGTACAGTTCGGCCCCACACTGTCAAATGCGAAAGCATTCTTCTGTTGAATCGCTGAGGCGAGGAGGCACCGAATCGTACATGTCAAGCTGGTTCGACGGACATGAATTCTTCTAGACTGAGCGGACTAGGGCCTTGATTCGTTTTAGATGATTTCTACAAGTCTGGTGTGCATTTATGGTCTAACAAAGCTGGTATTTGCCTCCGTTCAAAATGGGACTTTTACCGGTCCCTTCAAAGCCAGAATAGCTTGCATCTGCCTAGACTAGACCCCTTAGACGCATTTCGTGGGTTTATTATGCCTTGCGTCGAAATGGTTCTTCATTTATAAACAGGTCTTCGAGGCAAACAGTAGATCATATACATAATGTGTATTCACCCTATTTCGCTTAGGGGGATTAGGGAACATTTTCCCACAAGCATAGGATAAATCTCATAGATATGATCTACTAGTAGTTTCGAAAACCTACTTATAAGCCAAAAATATGTAAGAAGTGGGCTGACCTCATTTTCCCAACTTAGTCTTGTTGTCATGGCGACTTAGTTGGACGCATCTTGTCTGAAGTCTTCTGCCGAGAATGGCAAGACTCACTGAGGATGCCGACCACGATGCCGGCGAAAAGTTTGAGAATGTATCC